CCAATCAGGAGTGAGCTCCATGCAAATGAAGTACTACAAATGGACCAATCAGAAGTTAGGGAAGTGGATCGATCAGAAGTGAGAATAATAACCAATCAGAAGTGAGCTCAGGGAACCAATACAATTCTGGATGTAAGTTAGCAGCTTTAGAAACAAAAAGTGAGCCAGAGCCTCTGGGCCAGGGAACCGGACGGTGCTAAGAGGAGAGCAGCGGCCCTGCCTAGGGGTCCTGCTGGTCTTTTTATGGGGCTTTCCGCCTCAGTCTCTGAGTCAATCTCCAGGGAGAAGGTCACAGAATTTAACCTTACAAAGTAGGCTAAATACCAAGAAGACCAAGCCTTGAGTGCTTACGAGCTAGAGATCAAAAAAGTGACAACCACTGGCCTCTATAGAACTGGTCGCCTGGAGCCATCATGACGCCATTCTAAGTCTTCTGATGAGAAGAGGATTCTGTTGATTGTTATCAATGCTTTATTGTTTGAGCTATGACTAGACAACCACCCCACCCCATCCCCAAGGTGGGTTCACAGTTTTGAAGGCACAATCCTGCTGTGAGTCCCCTTTGCCCAGAGAAGCAATAAAGCTGCCTCTTTCCTTCTAAGCTCCAAGACCCGGTCTCTGAGTTATTTGGCTGGTATTTTGGCAACAGCCTCGCTATCAGGCACGCGAAGTTGTTTGCAATACCACCACTCACTCTGATTCAGGTAAACCAATTTACACGGGTCTGATCACTACCAGATGAAATGATACTCCAAATCTTTCGAATAACAGCCAACATTTATTAAGTAGACATTATGCCACAGGCACTATGCTCTGCATTTTAGTCTCATTTAATGATCACAACAGGGTAGTTTGAATCTCACTCTGTGCACTGTGTGAATCACTTTCATTATTTCATTTAAGCCTCAAACTACCCTAATCAAGTGCTATTAGCCCCAGTATACCCTAGGCAAGTGCTATTAGCCCTATTATGAGAAAACTGAAACTTGGAGAAACAAAGTAACTTCTCTATAAAGTTGTTTGTACAAATGCAGATATTCAAAGCCAGAAAGTCTGCCTCAGAACCCAAGCTCTTGGCCACTATGCTACCCTTGTACTCCTGGTAAACACAGGTCATGTCTGGAAGCAAAAGTAAAAGTGAGGCAACCAGGAATCAGTCTGCCAGCATTTTTAGGCAAGTGAAAGATCACAAGTTGTACTTGAAAACTCTGCCTAATATCCAAATAGACTTTCAAATTTTAATGTCTAGCCGAATGAGGTTTTTTTTTTTTTTAATGCTAGAAAATTCTCTGTACCCTCTTGGAAAATGAGGATTGCTGTGACGTGCCCTAGAAAAATCTGCAGGGAAATGATTGCACAACTGTGCCAGGCTGTCTCCTCCTGCTGCGATCTCCTCTGGGCCCTCTTCTGGACAGCCACTGTGTAATGGCAAAAGCTGACTGTGAAGGGAGAGCTCTCCCTCATTCCCTTAGTACACACTCACATTCAACATACTCTAGTAACAGCCATGATCCAGCTGATCTTATTGGGAAGGTGTGCTATTGTGATTTGTAAGAAAATGTATTTGGTCTTCATCCTCTTTCCTGGCATAGAGGTCCTAAAATCCTTGGAATTTCCAAAGGGAGGAGAGTGAGAAAGGTGTCATTTGTTACATTAATGAGATGAGTTTTGGACTGTACCTAAGGATAGGAGCTGGTTGCCCGTGGAGCCAGCCATGTGCTTTGAGGGTTGGAACTTTCCGACCTTGGCCACTGGTGATTAAAGTCAACCTCCAGCCCGTCTCCCCTCTCAACCCTGCCACTGCTTTATCTAGAGCTTCCAGGTGTTGCCCAAGTGGAGATTCAGTGAAAGTGGCACTGGAAGAGGGCATGGAAGCTCCTTGCCCTTCCATCCAGCTGTTCCTGAATGACATCCTTTGATGATAAGCTGATAACCTAGTAAGTAACATGTTTCTCTGAGTTCTGCAAGCCACTCTAGCAAATTAACTGAACCCAAGGGAGCAGTCACAGGAACCTGTGATTCACAGCCCGTCAGTCAGAAGCATAGTCATACCTCAAGAGATATTGTGAGTTTGGTCCCAGACCATAGCAATAAAGCGAGCCACATGAATTTTTTGGTTTCCCAGCACATGTAAAATTTAGTTTACACTATACTATAATCGATTAAGCATGCAATAGCATTATATCTTTAAAAAACAATGTATATATCTTACTTTAAAAATACTTTAATGCTAAGAAATGCTAACCATCATCTGAGACTTCAGTGAGTTATAATCTTTTTGCTGGTGGAGGGTTTTGCCTCCATATCGATGGTTGCTCACCGATCAGGGTGGTGTTTGCTGAAGCTGGAGTGGCTGTGGCAATTTCTTAAAGTAAGACCCCACAGAAGTCTGCCACATCAATTGATTCTTCCTTTCATAAATGGTTTCTCTGTAGCAATGCAATGTTATTTCATAGCATTTTACTCACAGTAGAACTTCTTTCAAAATTGGAGTCAATCTTCTCTCAACCTTGTCACTGCTTTATCAACTAAGTTTTTGTAATATTCTAAATCCTTTGCTGTCATTTCAACAGTCTTCACCAAGAGTAGATTCCATCTCAAGAAACCACTTTCTTTGCTCTTTCATAAGAAACAACTGTTAAAGTTTCATCATGAGATTGCAGCAATTGAGTCACATCTTCAAGTCCCACTTCTTATTATAGTTCTCTTGTTATTTCCACCACATCTGCAGTTACTTCCTCCACTGAAGTCTTGAACTCCTCAAAGCCACCCATGAGGGCTGGAATCAACTTCTTTCAAACTCCGGTTGTTAATACGTTAGCCTCTCCCCATGAATTGTGAATGTTCTTAATGGCATCTAGAATGGTGCATCCTTTCCAGGTTTTCAATTTACTTTGCCCAAATCCATCAGAGGAATCATTATCTATGGCAGTTCAGCCTTACAACATGTATTTCTTAAGCAGTAAGATTGAAAGTTGAAATTACTCCTTGATCCATGGGCTGCAGAATGGGTATTGTATGAGTAGACATAAAAACATGAATCTTGTACATGTCCATCAGAGCTCTTGTGTGACCAAATGCATTGTAAACGAGCAGTAATATTTTGAAAGGAATCTTTTTTTCTGAGCAGTAGGGCTCAACAGTGAGCTTAAAATGTTCATTAAACTGTGACGCTGTAAACACTGGTACTGTCATCCACGCTGTCATCCCCTTTATAGAGCACAGGCAGAGCAGATTTAGCACAATTCTTAAGGACCCATAGATTCTGCAATGGTAAATAAGCATTGGCTTCAACTTAAAGTCACCACCTGCATTAGCCCCTAACAGGAGAGGCAGCCTGTCCTTGGAAGCTTTGAAGTCAAGCATTGACTTCTCCTCTCTAGCTATTAAGTACTGCATGGCATCCTTTCCCAATATGAGGCTGTTTTGTCTACACTGAAAACCTGTTGTTTTGTGTAGCTACCTTTAGGAATTATCTTAGATCTTCTGGATAACTCATGCAGCATCTGCACCAGCACCTGCTGCTTCACCTAGCACTTTGATGTTATGGAGACGGCTTCTTTCCTTAAACCTCATGAGCCAACCTATGCTAGCTACAGACTTTTCTTCTGCAGCTTCCTCACCTCTCTCACCCGTCACAGAATTGAAGCGAGTTAGCGCTTTCAACATACCTTCCTCACTAAGCTTAATCATTTCCAGCTTTTGATTCAAAGTGAGAGATGTGAAACTCTTCCTTTCACTTGAACACTTAGAGGTCATCAGAGGGTTATTAACTGACCTAATCCCAATATTGTTGTGTCTCCCAAAGAGAGGGAGAGAGTCGGGGGAACAACAGAGTCAGTGCTGCAGTCAGAACACATACATTTCTTAATTAGGGTTGCCATTTTACATGCGTGCAGTGGTGCCACAAAATAATTACAGCGTAACACTGAAGATCACTGATCACAGATTACCATAATACAATAATGAAAAAGTCTGAAATATTACATAATTACAAAAATCTGACACAATGACAGAAAGTGAGGAAATGCTATTGGAAAACCTGTGCCAGTAAGTAGATTTACTCAACACAGGGTTGTCACAAACCTTCAATTTGCGGATGGAAAAAGAAAAAACCAAAAAAAAAAAAACCAATGTCTGCAAAGTGCAATAAAGCAGAGTGCAATAAAAAGAGGTGTGTCTCAAAACATTTTCCAACATAAGCCACAGCAATATTTTCCTAGATCAGTCTCCCAAAGCAAAAGAAAAAAAGCAAGACTAAATAATGGGACCCAAACAAATACAAGCTTTTGCACAGCAAAGGAAACCATCAACAAAACAAGAGACAACCTATGGAATGGGAGAAAATGTTTGCAAATAATGTGACTGAAAGGGCTTAATTTCCAAAATATACAAACAGCTCATATAACTCAATATCAAAAAACCAAATATTCCAATCAAAACATGGACAGAATAATAAGTACATAAAAAAATGCTCAATACTGCTAATTATCAGAGAAATGGAAATCAAAACTACAATGAAGTATCACCTCATTGTATGAGGCTATTCAGAATGGCCATCACTAAAAAGTCTACAAACCATAAATGCTGGAGAGGGTGTAGAGAAAGGGGAACCCTCCTACATTGCTGGCAGGAATGTAGTTTGGTACAGCCACTATGGTGAACAGTATGGAGATTCCTCAAAAAACTAAAAATAGATTTACTCTACAATTCAGCAATCCCACTCCTGGGTACATATTCACAGGAAAGTCTAACTTGAAAAGACACATGCACCCCAATGTTCACAGGAGCACTATTTACAATAGCCAAGACATGGAAGCAACCTAAATGTCCATCAACAGATGATTGGATAAAGAAGTTGTGGTATGTATATATATATATATATATATATATATATATATATAATGGAATACTACTTGGCCATAAAAAATAAAATAATGCCATTTGCAACAACATGGATGGACCTGGAGATCATCATCCTAAGTGAAGTAAGCCAGAAAGAGAAAGAAAACTGCCATATAATATCACTTATATGTGGAATCTAAAAAATTTACCCAGAAAGAAAATTACACAAATGAACTTTTTTACAAAACAGAAACAGACTCACAGACCTCACAGACACAGAAAACAAACTTACTGCTACCAAAGGGAAAATGCATGGGGAGGGATAAACTAGGAGTTCAGAATTAACAGATACATACTGCTGTGTATAAAATAGATAAACAACAAGGACTTACTGTAAAGCATAGGGAACTATATTCAATATCCTGTAATAACCAATGATGGAGAAGAATCTAAAAAAGAATATATATATATATATATATATATATATATATATATATATGAATCACTTTGCTGTATACTTGAAACTAATACAACATTGTAAACCAACCATACTTCATTAAAAAAATATTTTTTTTTTAAAGAGGTATGCCTGTATAGTTAACCACCTGGACTTGTGATCGGCATCTGAAGTGGCAGCAATCTTGTGTGGCTGACCCCTGACCCTGCAGAATGTGCTGCTCTCTCTGGGTAGGTAATGAAAGGAGAACTGCAGGACACCCAGCTAGTGCTGGAGAGTTGCTTGAGGAGGGAAACACCACACATACCCCGCCACACACTGGTGACCAAAACGATTAGGCTTTCTACACTTTTCAAAATTCTAAGAAGCTTGGTGAAGCCTCCCTTCTCTGGCAATCTCTTCAGTTAATCTGGTTTCATCATATCCAAATGTCATGTGGAAGTACGACAGCAATTTGTGCCTATGGTTATGCGTTATAAATGAAAAAAAGAAGAGAATCATTCAATGTATCCAACACTTTGCTTACTCAACACTGAGGTTTACCCCACAACTTCCTGCAAATTGTCCATAATAAATCTGATGTCTATATTCTATTCAAATAAAAATTTTAATCAGATTTTACATCTAGTATTAATATAACATGCCGTATGAGTATAAGGAGCTTGAGGAGTGCAATCTAGTACTTGGCTTAATGAATGCGAGCACGTGTTGCAGTCTTTATCAGCACTCAGCCTTCCTCTATTATGGCTTTTAAAAAACAATTTTTAAAAGTGCATGATTCCTTTGGGTGACTCTTTTTAGGAAAAAAATATAGTAAAACATTTCTAGTAATCAATTAGTTGCATATAGATTCAGGTTTAAAAATGTCAAATACTAGAAAAAAACAGGTTTTAAATTAGCTCAGTTTAAATATGGGGCCATTTCATTTAAAATATCTAATTTGAATCTTCATTGTTTCACTTATTTTATGTGCTAATTCCACTATACCAGGTCTTTTTCCAGTAATTTCTCAATAGTCCCAGACAAGATAAAAAAGGAATTCAATTTCTGTCAATTACACTTATGTCTGCATGCGACCAGGATAAGAAAGTTCTGCTCCCTATACGGCAATCACAAAAGGAAAAGAATTCCCCCAGCCAACTAGCAAGGAAAAATAATGCTGTTGTTCAGAATAAGGATGGCACAGCTGGGAACATTCACATTCTGACTCCTTCCAGAGCACTTCATTTCGGCAAAAAAAGCACTGATTCCTTTTCAAATTGAACTTTGACTGGAAAACACTGAGGTCACGGTTAGAGCCACAAATGCAGACATTAAAGACACGCACAAAAGTGCTCCCAATAAGGTTGCAGGGATCTCAGGTGGGGCCTTTCCTTCAATAGCAAATGATTTCAGAAGGTTCAGGAGCACGATTCAGTTTTTCTCAAAATGCCGAGACACCCTGCTGAATCTTCCTCCACTAGGCCTGCTGAGACCAGAGAAACCGATCACATTTTTCAAGCATGCTTTGTATCAAGGCTCTGAAAACCAAAGAAAAGAAACAAGCAAATTTAGTTTTCAATGTTCATTCTTTTCAGAAAACTTAAAAACCCACAAAAAAGTAGAGGATTCAAAACGTTGCCTGACTGCATCAAAAGACACAACGAACAGAGTGAAAAGGCATCCTATGAAACAGCATCCTGTCCTACAAAACGGGAGAAAAATATTTGCAAGTCATATGTCTGAGGGGTTAATTCCCTGAATATATAAAGAACTCATACAGTAACAACAAATAATATGATTTTAAAATGGGCAAGACTTAAATAGGTACTTCTTCAAAGATGACATTCAGATGGCCAATAATCTTATGAAAAGATGTTCAACATCACTAATTATTAGGGAAATGCAAATAAAAACTACAATGAGATATTATCTCATGCCTATTAGAAGAGCTACTAGCCAAAAAACCAGAAAATAAGTAGTGTTGGTAGGATGCAGAACTGGAACTCTCGAGCACTGTGGATGGGAATACAAAATGGTGCAGCCTCTGTGGAAAACAGCAGTATGGCGGCTCCTAAAAATATAAAAATAGAACAACCATCTGATCCAGGAGTTCCACTTCTGGGTACACACCCAAAAGAACTACAAGTAAGGTCTAAAGAAATACTTGTACACCCATATTCATAGCAGCGTTACTCAGAAGAGCCAAGAGGTGGCAGCAACACAAGTGTCTATTGAAAGATGAATGGATAAATAAAATGTGGAGCATACATACAATGAAATTATTACTCAGCCTTAAAAAGGAAGGACATCTGGCACGTGCTGGAACATGAATGAACCTTGAGGACATTATGCTAAATGAAACCAGTCAGTCACAGAAAGACAATAACTGTATGCTTCCACTTACATGAGGCACTTAAGAGTAGTCAAAATCAGACAGAAAGAGAATGGTGGTTGCCAGGGGCTGGGTGGAGGGAGAAATGAGGAATTCTTGTTTAATGGGTATACAGAGGTTCAGTTTTGTGAGATGGAAGAGTCCCGGAAGTTAGCTGCAGAATGATACGGATATACTCAACACCATGGAACCTAACGCTTAAAAATCGCTGATGGTAAATTTTATGTTATCTGTGTTTCACCTAATTAAAACCAAAAATAAAACCAAAAAAGCCCTGAGACAATTAGGTATGTGGTACCAATTAATGTTCTTAAAGAAATGAGTACACATCAGATTTGGGTATTCACATTAACCCAAACAGTGTCTTGATCATGATTATGAACAAAAGATTACTTTAGTCTCTTCCCTTAATCACCTGAATCAACAGATGAGTCTCCACTCCCTCATCTGTCAGTGAGGAGTTTGGACTGGAGAGCCTCTACAGTCCCACCCAGCTCTGAAAGTCTGTGCCATTTCTACATCCCCGAAGCACCCAGGGACAGGGCATGACAGGGGCATGGCAGACTGACATTACCTCTGCCTTTTCTCGGCAATCCTCAAAATATCGCAGGTCCTGGTAAACCTCTCTGACAGCTCAAGGGTCAAACCACATTCCTGCAATAGCGACCAGGCCCGATCTGGGCCCATAGCCTTAGCTAACAGGAGTGCTACATTCTCCACGTTGACAGGGGAAGGCCCATCACTGAAGTTCCCGTTTGGTGGCTTCTGGGGGGCTGGCTTTGTGCTCTTGTTCTGTACGAGGTGTAGAAGCAGCTTCCATTCCTCCACAGTCTCTGGGCTCCAACCTGCTCGAACACACAGAAATAGTGTTGGCTCTGACCGCTCTTAGCACTCTGTCTGCATGTATGAGATGGTCAAAACCGTTTGTGAGAACGTTGTAGCATGGAGGCGCTGAGTACGAATGAGGAGCAAAACAGACACGATGATCCCTGTACTCTCATGGAGCTTACCGTCTAAAGGAAAGAGAACTTAGACAAACACATAAATAAATCTATACTTAGAAACGGTGCTAAGTGCTATAAAGGAAAAGACCAAGGAATCATTAGAGAGACTGGCAGGGTTTTTTGTTTTTTGGCTTTTTTTTTGAGGATCATAGAAGAGCTCTATGAGAAAGTGACATTTAAGCAGAGAGGTGAAAGATGAGACAAGCTTAGTGAGCATGTACACGTGGTCCACATGTGCATAAACTTGGGAGGGAGGAATCAGCAATGCAGGGTGAAGGAGCCTGCACGTCTGACAAAGGAAACATGGAAGATAACTTGACACAGGAAAGAACCTGGTGAGTTCACAGACCTCAAAAAGGGCCTACAATACACAAAGGCAATAGTGAGGAGTGAGAATGAGATGATAAGGCCAGGCCAAAAGGGAACAGCTTAAGAATATGGATTTTATTTTGAGTCCAGTGTAAGGAGTTTCAAGGAGGAGAGTCACATAATCCAATTTTTTGTTTAAAAAAACCATCCTGGGAGTCAGCAACACTGTAGAGTAAAAACGACCTTTGTCTCTCCCCGTCAATCTACAACCAGTAAAATATCCACAATGCAACAAAGGTGACAGGACACTGGAGAATTTTCCACACATCTGTACATTTAAAGGTGGGTAGATTGGAAACACAGAGGAAGCGGCGCCTGCAATCTTAGCCCTCTAGCACCAGAGAGCCTGGTAGTAGCAGGGGAGGCAGTACACATGACCACAGCCTCCCGGCCACAGTGGCACCTACCGTGACAGATAACTGGGCAGCAGTGGCAGTGGAGCTTGGGACTCCATACCCCCAGCCTCTGAGGCGCCTATGACTCCAGCCCCCTGACACTACCCCCTCACCAGCAGCTTCAGGGCCCATGAATCTTATAATACTGGACACAGCAGAGGTACATGCACAATCCTGGCTACCTCCCAACTCTCCCCCGGAACGGCGGCAGAAGCTGCTACTCAGAGGATCCTGGACATGAGGGAAGAACCCACCATCCTGGTGCACCAGGCAGCAATGCCTGCAACAATGGCAGAAGCAAGGCATCAATGACCCTGGAGGTACAAGTGATAACAAGGACACTACGCCACACCACAGAGAAGGCAGAGGGCAGAGAATGCAGACTCAAATATAACCAGAGGCTGCTCAGGTAAGAGAAACCAAAAACCTGTGCTATAGCGCCACCTACTGGAAAATAAAAGAAAGGGGCTAATTTCTAACCGGCTGAATCATTAGAATCAAGCAGAAAGGTGCTCACTACTTTAAATGTGTCAGCAGAGGAACAACTTATCAAGCACTATGAAGAACCACAGTAACACTGGACCACAAAAGGAAAATGAGAAATCCCCAGAAACCAAACTTAAAGTCGCAGAATATTGCAATCTAATTGATAGAGAATTCAAAATACCTGTCATGAAGAAAGTCAAAGAGCTACAAGAAAACTCAAAAAGATACTTCAATGAACTGAGGAATAAAATGAATGAACAGGGGAATACTTTAAAAAGAGATTAAAACCCTAAAGAAGAACCAACTTCTGGAAATGAAAAACTCAACAAATGAGATGACAAATGCACTGAAAACATTGAAAATTATCAAGCGGACCACACAGAAGGGAGAATTAGTGATCTTGAAGATAGAAACCTAGAAATGAAACAAGTAGAAGAAAAAAGAAATAAGACCTTAAAATGATGAAAAAATCCAATTCTTATAGGAAAGGCCACATTAGGATAGTGAGAATCACATAAAGAGAAGAGATGGAAAGGGGAGGAGAGAGTTTATTTAAAGAAATAATAGCTAAGAAATTCCCAAACCTGGAGAAGGAACTAGGCATACAAGTCCATGAAGCTAACAGAACAACTAATTACCTCAACACAAAAAGACCTTCTCCGAGATACATTATATTCAAATTGTCCAAAGTCAATGACAAAACGTTTTAAATGCAGCCAGGGAAAAAAGAAAGGTAACCTACAAAGGAACCCCTATTAGGCTATCAACAGATTTCTTAGCAGAAATCCTATAGGCCTGAAAGGACTGGAATGACATTCTCAAAATACTGAGAGATAAAAACTGTCACCGAAGCATACTCTATCCAGCAAAGTTATCACTCAGATGTGAATGATAAAGACATTCCCCAAAAAAAAGAAATAAAATTTTTTAATTAAAAAAATTTAATTAAAAATTTTTAAATAAATATAAACAAATAAATAATTTTTTAAAAGAGAGAACAAAAATTATAAATTGTAAATGTAAAAATTCTCAACAAAATATTAGCAAACCTAATACAGTACATTAAAAGAAGCATATAGCATGATCAAGTGGGATTTATTCCAGGGGTGCAAGGATGGTTGTTTCCACAAATCAATCCACATAATTCACATTACCAAAATGAACATAATACACCTACATACATACACACACACACACAACAGAGTACTTCTCAGCCATTAAAAAAAAAGATGAAATCTTGCCATTTGTGACAACATAGACCATGAGGGTATTATGCTAAGTGAAGTAAGTCAGATATAGGAAGAAAAACACCGTATCATTTCACTCATGTGGAATATAAAAAACACACAAAAACCAAAATAAATGAACAAACCAAACAAAAACAAACATGTAGATACAAGAACAGAGCAGTGGTTCACTGGGAGGCAGGGAGAAATGGGTAAAGGGGAGCAAGTACATGGTGACAGATGGAAACTAAATTTCTGGTAGTGGGTACAATGGAGTGTAATACAAAAGTAGAAATACAATGCTGTACACATAATATTATACACCAATGTTACCTCAGTAAAATTTTTTTTAATTAAAAAAAAGAACCATTCTGGCTACTGTAAGGAAAATGGGTTAAAGATGGGCAAGAATGGAAACCAGATGACCAATTATGAGGTTACTGTAGCAGTCTAGACCAGTAGCTAGGACCAGAATGGTGGTGGTGAAGCAAAAGAAAATAGATAGATATGAGATATATATTTGGCAGTAGAATCAACATGCTTTGAAGAGTGATTAATATGAGCTACAAGGAGAGAGAAAAGTCAAGAAAAGACCCCCACTTAATACACCAAGGGTAAGAACAGCTAATCATTATTATGTTAACAAAATATTAAGACTACTTTTAACTGGGGGGGAAGAATTTTAGGTGATATTTTCTTCATTCTTCCTGGGTTTTCCATTTTTTTCTATATATAGATAACAAACATCATGTTGTAGCTTTAAAAACATTAACCATTTATACCTTAACTTTTCTGGCTATTTTTCAGAAGGGTATGCATGTCTATAGTTCTAGTCCTACAAAACCATCTGACCCTCTTGTTTCATTTCTGAAATAAAGATGACTCAGTTATATCGCTATAGCTGTAACATCTGAAGCTAACCCTTGCCAGCCAACTGGCTTCTTTGCTTGGTGCTAACTTTCCTTCTCCCACACTAACAGGGCTGAAAAAGGCTGTAGGTCACACTGCTAGATGAAGGATCCTGATGTCATGCTGTTGGCATCTCCACACTGAGGCCAATAAAGCAATACTACAGAACAGATCAAGACCATTTCTCTGTGTGCAGGATGAACTCTTCAGAGACCTCAGGGATCAGTGTGTCAAAGTCCCAGCCTTCTGATTGCCATTTTATCTGTACTGAATTAATGAAAATTAAAAAAAAAAGTATCTAGATACCTTTGAAGGCTTAGGAAAATCTGACTGCTACTTGACCTTAAGTTCTTCCTAACAATCTCTAACTTTGGGCTATGTAAAAAGGCAACACAATGAAGAGAAAAAAAAAACACATAAGCATAAGCTTTACTGATAGTCAGACCTGAGTGTGAACACCAGGTCCAGCATCAACTAGTTGTACAACTGTGGGGGAGGTAACTGTTCCTTCCCTGGGCCTCAATCAGAACTTCCATAAAACCCATCCCACAGGTTTGTTATCTCATTTAAACAGCATATGGAAAAGCATCTAGTATAATGCCTCACACAGTAGGACTCAATAAACAGAAAAGTTGCTTGTAGTTTATTTCTAATTATGATTTTATAATATACCAAGTAGTACAGATTAAAAACAACTCCACAAATCTGACAACTAGCTAGAATAATATACATGATCACTGAAATGTTTATCAAATTTCTTTATTGAAAATTCTGGAATGACTTCTAAAATGTTATAACTAAGAGTAGCCACTTGGGATTTACTTACCAAGGTCACCTTCCATCAGGCTCATATCATTCAGGTACACAATGTTGGTGAAGGCCTCTCTTCTTCTCTCCAGCTCCAAACAGAGAATAAGATATCCAGGCCAGAAACTAAAGAAACCAAAGTCAAAGAAATGAATAAATGACAGTTAATTTATCTGGAGTTATGGTGCTCGATACAGTGGACATTAGCCACATGTGGCTATTTAAATTTAAATTAATTGAAAGTAAATAAAACTTAAAAGTCAGTTCTTCAGTTAACCAATCTGTATTTCAAGTATTCAGTGGTGAAACCATAAACAAAACAAAACAACCTATGGAATGGAATAAAATTTTTGCAAAAGATGAAAGCGACAAAGGCTTGATCTCCAGAATACATAAGCAGCACATATGACTTATAAGAAAAAACAAACCCAATCCAAAAATGGGCAGAAGAACTAAACAAGCAACTTTCCAAGGAAGAAATACAAATGATCAACAGGCAGATGAAAAAATGCTCAATATCACTAGTCACCAGAGAAATGCAAATCAAAACTACAATGAGGTATCACCTCACACCAGTCAGAATGGCCATCATTCGAAAATCCACAAATGACAAATGCTGGAGAGGCTGTGGAGAAAAGAGAACCTTCCTATACTGCTGGAATGCAGTTTGGTACAGCCACTATGGAAAACAGTATGGAGATTCCTTAAAAGACTAGGAATAGACTTGCCATATGACCCAGGAATCCCGCTCCTGGGCATATATCCAGAAGGAACCCTACTTCAAAAAGACACCTGCGCCCCAATGTTCATAGCAGCACTATTTATAATAGCCAAGGCATGGGAACAGCCTAAATGTCCGTTGACAGATGACTGGATAAAGAAAATGTGGTATATTTATACAATGAAATACTATTCAGCCATAAAAACCGACAACATAACGCCATTTGCAGCAACATGGATGTCCCTGGAGAATGTCATTCTAAGTGAAGTAAGCCAGAAAGAGAAAGAAAAATACCATATGAGATCGCTCATATGTGGAATCTGAAAAAAAAAAAAAAGAACATAAATACAAAACAGAAACAGACTCATAGACACAGAATACAAATTTGTGGTTGCCAGGGAGGAGGGGGGTGGGAAGGGACAGACTGGGAGTTCAAAATTTGTAGATATTGATTGGCATATGTAGACTAGATAAACAAGTTTATACTGTATAGCACAGGGAAATACATACAAGATCATGTGGTAGCTCACAGTGAAAAAGAATGTGACAATGAATATATGTATGTTCATGTATAACTGAAAAATTGTGCTCTACACTGGAAATTGACACAACATTGTAAACTGACTATAACTCAATTAAAAAAAAAGTTAAAAAAAAAGTATTCAGTGGCCACATGTAGCTGGACAGCGCAGAATTATTTCCACTGCCTCAGAAAGTTGAGACAGCCCTGATATACAGCAATTAAGAAAAAACATTAAAGTTAGTGATAAATACTGACATTTGAGGCCAAGCACCAATTATGAGACATTTAAGCTTATGTACTTTATAAATTTTAAGATTCAGTACAAAACTAGCATATTACATCCCCAAGTGTGCAAACTTTGCAAGTTCTCCTTGACTCTCCCCTTCCTTCATTTGCTATACTCAGTATCTACAGGTCCCACTGCATTTTCCTTTGAAATGTCTCCTTGGGTGTGCTCCTTCTGCTGCCCTACTAATCATCAATTCAGTCATACCTGAATTCCTGCAACAGCTTCCTAACTGACCTTCCTTTCCCGTCTCCAATCCTTCTCATGTATGACACCAGAAATGATCTTCAGAAAGCTCCATTTTTATCAAGTAATTTTTGTACCAAAAAGTCTAAAAGGGTCTCTGCTGATAACTAAATTCTTCTAACAGCCTCCCAAGGTCCTACATGATCCACCACCTGGCCAGTCTCATCCCTCATTATTAATGAACAAATACGCATCAAGTGCCTAGCACTTTATGAATTATGCATTATGAGAGAAAAGGAAGACACATGTCACTATTTCAAAAAGATTACAATACAAGTGAAGGCATAAGACAACATCTTCAGGCAATAATAACTAACTAACTAATATATGGTACAGATAAACAGTAGTATCAGTTTTTCACAGCCTTGCTCTGGCTTTTTCTCTCACCTGACCTGCACTCTTCCTGACTCCTTTTTAAATACAAAGCCTACCCAGCCTTAGGGCTTACCTCCAAGTCTCACCTCCCCCCAGAGTCCTTCACCAGTGATTTTATTGAGCCCATTCTGATCTCTCCCTTTGGAAACCCTATACCAATTATAACTCGTATCACAGTCTGGTTCTTAACTAAATACCATCTACATGCCTGAGAATTGGGGCTAAAACTAAGCAGAAGGGGGAGAAAGGAATTAGCAAGGGCCAGTCTCTTCTACACACAAAATAAAATATGCTCAAAATTTAAAACAAAAAAGATGTTTACTATCGCTTAAAACAAAAAGGCCCTTTAATGTAGCAAAGAAAATTTCCAAATGATAAAGCATATCAGTTCAGGCCCTTAGCTATTTAACTTAAGTTACTCATTAAAATGACTCTCATCTTAACTTCAGCTTCTAGGAAAAGTCTCACTTACCCATGAGACCTACAGATGTCAGTCATTTTCTCTTTTGTTGTAAAATCTGCAGGAAGTTTAATTAGATGAAGGATTAGCTGACTGTAACCCCAAGAAAACAAGTGGGAATGAGGCCTATGAAATGAAAAAATATCAGTAATTCAGAAAGGAAATCAACACTACAAAATGCTTATTTTTCAACTAATAGGTAAGAATAGAACTTAATTATATTTTTCAAACATTTCTACTTGGCTTTTGAAAAATTAAAATAGCTATTTTTCCTACAACAAACACCTATTTAAAAAAAATAGTAATCAAAAGAAAGAAGCCCATAATCTCATCATTTACAGATAGCTATTTTATATCCTTCCAGATCTTTTTACCTAGGCATATAAGATGGACATTTCAGGGGATTTAAAAAAGTTTCTTCTAGAGGAAAGCACAAGGAACATTTCTGTTACATTATAAGTATCACTGTGTATTTTTTATGAATTGTATTTTTTTTAAAAAAGATCCTAAATCAGGTTATGTCTAGAAATCCCTTGGCAAATTTCTAGGAAGAACACACACACACACACACACACACACACACACACAATTTTCTAACACAGGTTTAATCATCAAGGGCTCCTAATGTTGGCCTATGAAAGAGCTTCAGGTGACCAGTTTAATTCTCTGAAATAATGTGCAAAATTTTGTAGGGATGTTACATTATTTCAACAGAAATCATCAGATTTTTACAGGGTCTGTGATTTAAAAAATGTTCAGAACCACTAAGAAGTACACTCAGTCTCATCATTACCATGACTTGGGTTGGTCTCTTCCATAGCTGTTTCTGAAGTAAGCCCAGAATGCTATTGTGTGAATAAATTGGTTCCACTCCAAAGGAGCAGCAGAGCCTAGGAAAAAAACCCCTTCTATACCTGGGATTTCCTTCGTCGTCTACAGTGCTGGTGCTTGGGGGAGCATCATGGGACACTGCCAACAGCAGCCAATCCAATCTTAAAGACTCTGGTTGTAGAAGGGACTCAAGGAAGGATGGCCTAAGAGAAAGTTGGGGAGAAAAATCATCAATCTTCATGTTGAGAAAGGAAAGATAAAATGTGTGGATATGAAGAAAATGTTATTAAGAAATCAATATACTTCATTTAAAAAAAAGAAATTAATAGATTGGATGAAATAACTGGAAAACCCTTCTGCTACAAAATGTCTAGAATTACCGGTAGAAATCTAATAGCTTTTTAAATGAATAGTTGAGCCTCAAGATAATAAGGAAAGCACCAAAGGGGGAAAAAAAAGGAGAAATAAGTACCAGTATAGCAAATGTGAACCAATCAAAAGAAGGAAAAAAGGGGGGAAGCGGTCATTCTTAATAACCAAGGGACATGTGTGTTTATTGCCACGTGGAGATAGGAAATGAGGCCTCAGCCTACAGAAGCTAAGAGCTGGAACTGAGATCCAACCGCAAAAGGCTGGGATATCATCAATAAAAAGGTGGCAGAAAATCCACCCACTGGCAGAGACAACAAGGAAGTTTATCTGTTTCAGCCTAGGCCCTGAGGCAGGAGTTTAATTTTACACTGTTGATCTGATAATGTCTGAAAGGGAGAGAGGGAGAGAAGAGAAGTGTGGTATGTGCACATTTATGGTGTGTACTGTGAACTGTGAAAGAAAGGGACATGACTGCCAATTCCTCCTCTTCTACTGCAGGTGCCTCAATCCTGAGGAGTTAATCCTAAAAGTGTTCCAACTGCGTATACGAGAGAAACAATGCCCTATCACAAGAAAGGAGAGTTCTGCACACGTTCTCTCCTTCTCACCGTTGATCTTCAGGCCTTGATTTCACCAGACTGTCTAAATAGGCCAAAAACTGAGCGGGGTGGTAATGACAAAGTTGCATGACATCTGAAGGCAAAATGGATGGGTAAAACCTGATTAAGGATCGAAGGGCAGATTCTCCAAATTTCTCATACAATCTGCATTTAAAAACAAAAAACGTTAGTGAGATAATATAACTTGGTTACCTTAAGTATTCATTAAAAATAAAAATGAGTACAGTAACAAGAAGCTGCTCAACACCTAATTGAGTAAAACTTTACAGACTATGACCAAGAAGATGCATGTGCTTCAGTTCATATAAACAACATATAGGACAACTCACCGGGTAGCATAAGCAATCAACAAAGGACTGTCAAAAGGGACCGAATCATCCAGTAACTTTAATTTTGCTGGGAGGTCTCCTTCTTCCATCTTTATATATGTAGGATTGGAACTTGCCATTTCTAAAAGACAAAGCAATTTTCCTTCATCTCACAGCTATAAATATTTAAGTCATGAACACATTATTCAACAATCATTACTGTGTGTAGGGCCCAACATTTATAAAGCATTGCAGGAGAGATTTAAAAAAAAAAAAAAAAGGACACAAGACAATCTCTGCTTTTAAGGGCCTTAAAATCAAACTGGGAGGCAAAGCATATTGGAAGTTTTAAATAAGACAAAGGAACAGATAGCCAATATATAAGTGCCTATTACCACTGAAAAAGCATCCTTTATATACATAATGTACAATATTTCCAATTTGATTGGGTCAGCCAAGTACTTAAAGGAATTCAGAGAAGAAGCCATCACTTAGAGCATAAGAAGTGAGGGAAAGCTTTATGATTGGGTGAGTGCTAAGCCAAACTTATCCCCTTAAATTCAAGGAAGCAGCTGCATCATTTCAAATGCCCACCACACTTGCTTTAGCCAGCTCTGGTAGTAAGTTAACCACTCAGGTTGATGAAGACTTTTTTGCTATTTTCCTGTGACCAAGATCGGGTATGATCACGTAATAGAGACAGATACAGCAAATGTCCAGGAATAATGTCAAACATTTGAAACTATTTGAAAAGAAGTAACTGTTCTTACTTCAACATAAAAGAGTCTACTTCAATTCAGTAAAAGAAACCAAAATCATTTCTTACACATTTAACTGCTAACTGTGAAGTGAGGAGAACTGTAACTACAGATCCTTGTTTCCAGGAACCTTACAGATCCTTAAGTCAGATAATATAAAAATGTGTCTCTACTTATGACTATTCACTTTTGGTGATGAATGAAAAGTCTGCTTAAAGTCTACATCAATTATTAGAAATATGACATCTGTTATCCAGAGTTTTGAGTTAAGAAAAGTCACTTCTTCAAAAACGTGGGACCATTGCAGTAGAAACAGCACGGTCTCTGGGATGTGAAAGTTCGTTTCTGTACAAGGATGACCAGTAATGTGTGGCTTCAATCAAGTGTGAAATAGAGACTGCTGACTGCCCACCAAAATCTCTGAGGCAGACATGCAAGCCCTTCAGCCGTATCCAGCCTCTTCCTTCTAGACACCTGGACAGGTTACATTTCCCAGACTCCTTTGCAGTTAGGTGGGGCCATGTGATAGAATTCTTGCCAATGGAAGACATGTAAGTCACTACCGGGCCACATATATCAGAGAGCTTGTTTGCCTCTTCCATATGCTTCAGCCTGAACACAGCAACCCAATCTCAATCATCAGCCCTAAGAGAGGATAGAAGTCAAAAAAAAATGGAAGGAACTTGGAACCCTGAATTACCACATGCAAGAGAGCTGACCACTGACCTGGAACAGTTAGTTGCCCTGGACTGATCTATGAAAAGAAATAAATTGCACTGTATTGTATCTGAGTAATTGTAAATCCATTGTATCTGAGTTATTGTATTATATCTGAGTTATTATGAGATACTATAGCAGTTTTAATCTACTCAACTATTATAATCTCTCTATGTCTCAGTTTCCTCAACTATTAAATTGAGTAACACCATCTACTCCAAAGTGTTGTAAAGATGAAATGAGATGATGCTTTCAAAGTGTTTAGAAGACTATCTGGCACATGGTAAGTACTCAATAAATGGTATATGCTATTTCTATATTAGTTAAGTTACATGAGGGATTTTCTTTTTTCTTCATTTATTTGCATTTATAAAATTTTACTTAAACCCAACTTCTCCAACAGTACTATATCATTTTCTGAATAAGACTGTGAGAGAAATAAAACTAATTTCTTATAGTAGTTGCAAGAACTATTAAAAATTAAATTGAGTGGAAAATTAAATGGATGGTTTACCAGAACGGAGGTGATTTTTCTACTTAAATCTTTTTTTTTTTTAACTCAAGAAGAGATGCCAAGATGTTATTGTCCTCTATATAAATTTCTATCTTTAGTAAGGCAGTCTGATTATTACCTTTCAATCCTTCAATAAAAGTATCCCAAATACAAGGACTGTTAGTGTAACTCAGCTTGATGCTCTCCTTTGCTCTTTTCAAGTCCAGGAGAAAAAAGTACTTCTTTAGGAAATGACAAGCCAGAATTTCAGGTGAGCACTGTTGCAAAGTGTGATCCACACATCCACCTGCATTTCTGATCTCAGAATTCAATACATTCAATTCCAAACACAACGTTGTCAGTTCAGCCAGGTCCTTCAGAAGATCGTTTGCTATACTGCACGGAGAACATACTCGAAAAAGGTCATCATCCAAGGGCTCCCTCGGACTATTTACAGACTCATATGCTGTTTGATGAACAGTTTCTTCATTGCGTAAAGAGTTCCTTTTTTCTTTTTCATGTTCTTCATCTAATATTCCCTTTCTTGACCCATCAAGCAATAGTATATTCTGGTTTGATTTCATGGATGAGTTGTCAGTATCTGAAATGCTTGAGAAGTCCTCCACGGCAAATGTTTCTTCTAAGTGTGAAAGCCACTCCTGTAAAACCAATCTCAGAGACTTTGGTTCAAACAAAACCAGTGGGTCCTGTAGCTTGGTTCTATACAAGACAGACAAGTATGAAATTTATGTTTCACAAATTTATGTTTCACATACTTTTTTAAAAAAACAAACTGTTTTATGCTAAATAAACCCAACAGATAAAACATACTTACCTGGAATAAATGTTACTTTTCAACTCTTTAAATAATAATTATCTCAGCAAGACAGCAATACAGAGAACATTAACTTTGTACTAATTCTTGAATTTCAATTCCAAATGAAACCTCCTCTGCTCCACACTGTCTCAGAGCCACTACTGATGATCTCAAAACATTACTCCATTCACTATAAAATTTTCTCATTCAAACACTCACATGGCTTCTGCTGTTGCTATTTTGAGCTCTTGTAACTCGTCTTCTTCTGGAGGTTGACTGGCTACTTCTTTCCCCCTAGAAAAGTATGAAAAAAGTTAGAGGGGATTAGAGCTTCCATAGGCAAATATTCCTAAGTGCTTACTAAATGCAAGGTACTGTACTCAATGTTACAAACAGATGAGTATAAAAAATGGTCTCAAGATGCGTAGGCTCAAGTCAGAGTTAGACCTAGTCAGAAAGAGAGGCAAGAAAACAACTCTAATATACAAGAGAGAAAATGAATACTAAAGAGCAGCACAAGCACTGAGCCCTGAAAACACAGAAAAAGGAATAATTATTCTGACCAGGCAAGTAAGAGATGCTCTCCTGAGGAGGTGGTATTTGCATTAGAAAGAATGGGGGCGAAATAGTGCAGGTGGGAGAAACAGCATGAAGAAAAGTAGTGAGGTGTACACACCCAGTTCTCGGGCAGCACTGGAATTTAGAGTGCTTAGAAGGATGTGGCTGGAAGTGAGGCTGGAAAGGTGGGCTCAGGTCAGACTGAGGGCTGCCTTGAACGCCATCGCACTACCTGTACTCTTTCCCTATACACACATGGACTCGTAACTAAGTCACTTTAAGGACAACACACCTTTTATTCCATCTGACTGTCTAATGTACACTGGCCCTGTGGGTCTATCACAATTCCTGAATGAGTGCTGAGCTTGCTTGCCTTCAGTGGCCAGATCCCCTGAACGATGAGAAAAGGCAGAGACCAGATAACAAGATGCTTCACATCGTGCCAGACCAAGGGCTCAGCTGCAACTCCACTACATAAGGACCATGCCACCTGCATGTCATAGGAAGGTATATGATAAGACATCAATGCTAGTGCTCTTACCGTGTGGGTCAAAGAGCATCAGTGACCTATCCAAAGGCACATCCTAGCCAGAAGCAGAACCCGGACAGGGCTGAGATCCTTGGTCATCCTACTCCTAATCTGATACTCCTTCTCTAACATCCACAAATTTGAAGAGATTTGAAAGGGAGGGAAGTTGTCCGGGGGAAAGATGGAAGAGGTGCTAAATTACAACTCTGTCTCAACCGACTTGCTATGTATGGGTTGATGTGATTTTCCAGTTTTTACAAATACATAAACAATCTACCATGAACAGAGCCATACATATGCGTTCTTCAAGAGGACATGGTGTACAGCTCTCTTCATATTGACAGCTGACTCCTGTAGAATTTACACAGATTTCTATAGAGGCTTACACAGTGTCTTCCTCCTTTGGGCAAGTGACCGGACTCACATCTTCTTCACATGACTGCTCATCACCCCTGGGTTCTGGTCTCCCTTTCAGATCAGGACTAGTATGAAGGGTGCCGATCTTCTCAGTAGTTTTACGCACAAAGCTAGAAACACTGGAAGTCAAATCAAATACCAATAAACTTATATGAAAAAAAATTCATTATTGCCAAGAATGACAAATTCAGTACCTGAGTTCTCCATGTTCCTATCAGTCCCTGAAACCAACTTAGACTTACTAAAAAGAAAGACTCTGTTTATAGCAACTTCTCTAATCAATTACAGATTTCACATAAGGCCCATGTAAAATTCATAACAGAATAAGGATTTACTTCATTTACTAAACTAATTTGATTCAGTTCTTAAGAAAAGGTCTTTAACTCCAGCTGTGCCTGCAATATTTCTATCAATTTAGGCAAAGGAGGCCATGTGATCACTTGCCCCATCCTAGCCCAAGAATTTCTTCATGAAATTCAGCTGCTAACTCATCACAGTATATCCTTCTTAAAAAGTAAAATTTGTATCCATCAAAACTCAGATTAGCATTTAAGTACACAAAGTCTTCTTTTTCAAACTTATATGTCAGTTCTGGGCCCAGCGAGTCGTAACTTCTAAAGTCTCCAACTCTGAGTCCAAACTGAGAAATGATTAAGAAAATGACTAATGATACATGGAAAATGTTCTTATCAGGCATGAGGAAAAAACAGATTTTTAAACTTTTGCTCAGCCTGAGGAGGAAAAAAAAAAAACACATTTGTAACAACTCAAATATCCAGCTACTCAAAAAGGGAAGCTAAATTCCCCAAGATTGAAATGAGAAAATCTGGACACTTTCTTTTTTTCTCATTTAAAATGTCTTTCAAAAAAAAAAAGTCTTTCCATTCTCAGTGCAAAAGTGCCCATTATGACAACTGAGGTAAAACCAGAAATGTGATTAAATGACAAGACTAATAACTTTACCTTTCCTTGACAGCCTGAAGAGACACTAGAGGAGATGGAGAACGAAACGACAGTGGGATGCTGAAGGGGAGAAAAGTTTCATTCTTATCCGTCTCATACGTCACTGGAACATAAGAAACACTGTCTGATGAATGGAATCAGGAGGAAAAGAAACAATCTAATCACATGAAAGTTTTTTTAATCTTTAAAGAAACTCTGAAATGAATAAACCAAAGGAAATGAAGGATTCAATACCAAAATCACGACTGACCCAAATACAAATGAGCAGAACACAGGTTTACAAGATGCACGGATGGTCCACGTATAAAACACTTAGACAGGTACCTTCATTTTTCCTACTAACCCTGAATCCCCATAAGTCAAAAAAGAAGTTTAGGGTCTATTAACCTCTTCTCAACAGTTCAGTCACAGGAATACTTGAACATCGAAAAGTGAAGGCAATGGCCCCCAAAACTGTAGTAATTTTTCATTCCTAATGAAAAATAATTTGGTTAGTCAGGATAAAACCGTTCCACTCTTTTGGTTAATGACCTCCTCTCTCTTAACCTTTCCAGCACATGGATGCATGATCAAAATTAGGTTATTTACCAATGTTAGCCTAAACACGAAGGGAGAAGAAATCCCAAATAAACATAAACTTATCCTTCTAGTGGTGAGTAGGTCAATAGGTTTGAATAGAAAGTCTATCAACTTAATAAAACTTATTAACACCCTGTAGAAAACTCTATGCATGAGATAATCCTGGCAAACAGAAGTCACAGAAAACAACTGTTTCATATCGGCAACCAATAAAAGATACATTCATCACCTTCAGTTCCTTGTGAGCCACAACACTGATCTGGTTGGTCCTCTTCTTGATGTGAGGTGAATTCTTTAAGTCTCTCATCTTCTGAGAGGGTTTGGCTGTGAAGGGAACAAGAGTCTTCATCTGACTGACTGCCTCTTCTACTACTAATGACACGATAAATACCAGAGTCCAAGATACTGAAACTTTCCTAAAAATAAAAAGAATTGAAGAAAAATCAAAGCAAAACTTTCTTTTATAACATGATATTCTAAGAGAAACACCAACACTAAAAGTAGCAAGTCAACAGCAACAACTATGGCTTATTAGAACAAACTGGTGAGCAAGGTCTAGGCTCCTGGCAGCTGGGTCCTTCCCATGTGTCATGGCGTCATGCTGCCATATTTCTCTGGCTTGTCTCCATAAAGTCTGGCAGTGAGAATGGGGATTAAATGAGACAATCCTGAGCTACACTGAGACTCAAGTTAGCATGAAGCATTTGAAATCAATTAGGAGCAACTTAATTTGTGCTAGAGGCTATATGAGGTATATTTGCAAACAGGATATGCAATACAATGATAAAACAAAATGTGGTTCTAAGACACACCTAAATGAAGGCTTCAAAGGGCTGTCCAACAGCTGAAAGAAAGTCCCTCTTGATTGCCCCACCCCCCAAAAAATCAACATGGAAAGGAAGCTGAGTTTTGGGACCCTAGAAGTAAGTCAGTACAACCTAATACAGAAAAATCTTACTATACAGCCAAACCCTTTTTCAAAGTGAGAATACCTACATGTGATGAAATGGAGCTTCTTCTACTACTACAAGCTGAATCCAAAGGTTCAAATTTTAAGATCAGTTCTTCCAGTTGAGAAATTAGATCACCATAGGTTGTTAAGTCCAGTTGAGATTTCAAATGTTCCAATTTATCTATAGTCAAAGTTTTTCTTCCCTAATAAAAGGATAAGTAGAAATCCAATAGAAGAGCTTTCTGTTGTAATGAAATCTATATTCAAATGGCCAATACATTAAAAGAGGTCTGACATAGAACATAAAACCTCATAGGTGCTTTAAAAGGGTTTAACAAGCTAGGAGAAGACTTAATGAGAATTCTCTTATGAATTAAGAATTTAATTAAGACTTAGTATACATATAATTTCACCTAAAACAGGCCCTGAAATTCAGATAAATTTGTGAGTAAATCTGATTTTCTTTTTTTAATGGAATGTATACCCTTTTCCTCACCACCATCACCTACTCCAGATTTATTTGCCATGTTTCCTTTGGGGATTCACTGCTGCTTAACCTGGAGGCTAATGAAGACAAGCAACTGTGTAGCATAATCCTGCAAACTAGAATGGTTTTAATAACCCAGATGAACATGTAAACTCTGTGACTCACTCTGCTGGCAATGACAGAATTCTGGAAAAGACAGCAAGTTCGAGCAGCCAGGTTCCACAGGCCTCTCCTTAGCAGGCGTTCCACACAGCGTTCCACAGACAACAGGGAAAGACGTGAGACCTTCCCGTTTAGGTGCAAACAGAACAGCTCATTCTTGCAGACAGCCACATCCTGAATATCTACAAAAACAACAGGGGTGTAAACACAGGATGTTAACTAAATACTCTTTTCCCAATTTTGTGATGGCTGAAATTATTCTAATAAACTAATTTTTATATAGGGTTTGGCTTGACTGAATTTCATCTCTATTCTTACACTTGCATGCCAATGAAAAATCATATTTTAGATACTAAACAGATCAAAAACAAAAGACAGAGAGAAAGACACACATCTCTCTGATCTAAAATCCTGTATTTTAAAATGCTATTTTTTGTGAAAAGAAATTGGGACTTTAAAAGAGGGCACTCGATATGAGAGGCCAGACTATAACATTTCTGAGAGTTACAATCTGATACCAGTGAATGGATTTCACCACAGTATGTAATCAACAAACAGTTCATGAAAAAATACTGATCTTGACAGAACATCATGAAAGGACCCAAAAAGCTAGTTTTCACAGGAGACCCTAAGGAAACTTAATTCACAAGGAATCAATGTTGATCAGGTCAGTAAATAATGGTTCCGTTCTCTTTTTTATGTTTTTACAAACTAGAAAATGACTCAAAAATCAAGATACACTCTCTGAGCAGCCATGCTAAAAATGCTAGGTTTATTTCCTCCATTTCTGGTTTATACCAGAAGAATACAGAGATTAATTTTCTCTGCCTCAGCCACATACAATGGCTATTGTTTCCACAAGGACTTTTCAATCCTAAATTATTAAGACTCAAAATAGGAGTTAAAGCAATACTTCTTACAGGGATAAAAATTCAGGGTAAGTAGAGAGAAAAAATTAACCCATTCAATCCTTAGCAATGGTTGCGAATATTTAAGAATAAATGAAAATTGCACTTAAAATAATTAAATAACTGTACATAAATTAATAAACGTATGCTTGGGAAGTATCTTATTATGAGATACATCTATGTTAATCTTTGGGAAAAAAATGTCACCTCATTCTATTTTCCACTTCTTACACTACAAGACAATCCTCCTCCTATAATAATCAACTCTTTCACAAGCATGAGATGAAAAATCACATAAGGAAGAAAAATATAGTTACCTTTGACTTCACTCCAAAGAAGAACCTGAACATTCTGAGGAATGAAAATATAAATTCCTCTTTCTGTCCAAGTCAGCACACAATGCTCACTACAAGAAAGAATAGAAGAAGTCAAGAGAATTCTAGTTTGCTTGGAATCAGAAGTTTATGATATAATGCCCTGAATTCAGACCCTCACATTAGCTATGAAAGCAAAATCAGCCTGTGCAAAGAAAACACAACAGTGACCCAGCTAAACAAGTCCTACCACCTTTTTTCTGTCTATAACAACAGCCCACTGAAAACCAGCATATGATGCCAAAGTGGGAAAAATTCAGATACACTAAATATCATCTAGAAAAAGAAAAGGCTGGTATCTTACCTGATGTTTGTTAGTAGCTAAACTTCCCATATCCGGTATGACAGGGGTTCATTTAAAACAGAGACTAAATGTAACATCTTACCACCAATCAGTGCTCTAGTGAGCCACTTTTAGGGAAGGTAATATTTTGGTGTTCTCAGTTGTGTGGGGGCAATAAAAGGTTGAAAATTCCCAGTCAACTACGGAAGTGTCACTGTTTTTATTAAAGCTTCTACCTATATTACTGAACCTTGAAACAACTCATCAAGATAGATATATTATTCCTATTTTACAAAAAAGAAAAATTGAAGCTCAGAGAGAGACGAAATAATATGCTGAAGGCCATTCAGCATGAAAGTAGAAGAGTCAGAATTTATACCAAGGATGGTGTAGCTCCAAAACCTGGACTTTTTCTCTACACCTCACAAAATCTACTTCTACCCTCATTTATCCTCACTGACCCATCTACCGTTATTTGGAATCCTAATTTTCCCAGTTAACTGCATTCTCAAGAAGTCACTGATTTCCTAACCGCCAAACCCAATAACCATTCCTCATTTTCCTTCTTGATCCCCAAGCATGTGCCAACCCTGCAGACTGTTCCTTCCTTCCTGAATCTGACCTCTCTGGACTCTGAGATATTGAATTTTCTTGGCCCAGCTTTCTTTTCAGGAAAGCTTTTTTCCTTCTATATTCCTCTGCTCTTATATCTCATTTACTCTCCTGAGGCTGCTACTACTTTTATACACCACTGGTAATCCCTCCTTCCTGCCCCTGGTCAGAGCATCTCCTACACACGTCCTCATTCAGCCACCTCTCAAGGGTCAGCAGCTGTCCTACTGCCCTTTAAAATCCTCCCCGACAGCCCACAGCAATCACTCTCCCTCCTGCACTCAACCGATTTCTTGCCAACCCCACTCACCTGGCACTTAATCATGTATGGCACTGTCACAACTCTTACTCTTTATTGTTGTTGAACATTTTCTAGAAATAGACTACATCTCTCCAACAAATTATAATCTTGAGAACAGGGACTTTTTTTTTTTTTTTTTTTTTTTTTTTTTTAGTTTATGACCTCAAAAGTATTAAAAGTGATACCATGTGGCTATGAAACTAAGAGTGATATTTAACAAGAATCAGGTCCTCACACAAATATTAAACATTTTGCCAATATAAGATCAGATCACTGTCCCTATAGGAAAGTAATCTTTGTCATAAAGAAGGAAGAAATGGTCAGAATCCGAGTCCAAAATAAATAAAATTGGAAGGCTGCCTTTGAGAGCCAAAGAGGGGCAAAAATAGAGGCCAGAAGATCCCTAAGTAAAGAGATACAGAATCATGATTCTGACACTGAACTGGATACACAGCTTGGAAAGATTCCTTAAGAATAGGTAGGGGACTGGGCGGGGGAACTTAGATAAAGAGTTGATACTTTTGTAATTTATACAACCCTCATCCCCTTTTTCCTTCACTGATGATAAACACACCAGGACACAAGCCTAACAAGACTGTTCAAATAGTTAAGGAAGGGAAAGTGATCCTAGTGTACCCTAAAGGAAGCAAAGTATATAAATTTGCTCCCTTGTGGGATCTGTGAGTGTAACAGTGAATGTTACCATGAATCAAGTGTACAAGTGGGGAAAAAAGTAAATAAACAGGAACAAAAAGCCCTCATGTATTTTTCAAAAATATCTTAGTGAAATTCTTTAATTTAATTTGATAGCTATTATTTGAGAATCTTCTATGCACCTAGCACTGTGCCCACAGTAAAGGAGTTGACAATCTGGTGCTGGGATGGATATTCAAAGCACACTGAAACAGGATGGTGATGGAGGAATAAACAAGATGTGACAACACCCCATGGGAGGGAATACGTGTCTAATCTAAATTGCTGGAGGAGTCAGTAAAGGCTTCAAAGTGGCACTAATTATTGCTTAAGCTGAGGAGTAGGCAGAGCCAGATCATGAAGGGCTTTGTTTGCTAAGGCAGGAATTCTAATGGGAGCTTTAAATAGCTTAACTCAAAGGAATAACAGTACCAGAAGAACCAAGCAGACTGTGGCCTTGCCATTGGAAAACACTGTCTCGGGTGAGGGACTTCCCCACACCCCACATGTCACAGCACAGTCAACAAATGTTTATTAAGTGTCTATGATGTGCCAGGCACTATGCCAGACACTGAGGATAAAACAGGGAACAAAAGAGACACAGAGCCCTCATGGACCTTTTTGTCTAGGAGTAAGACAGGAATAAATACTGTCTGAATATGTGATTATAAGCTGTGATACATAACATAAAGAAAGAATTTTTAATACACTTTATCTAACTATGGGCAAATAAATAGCTTTCTTCAGTAACTTTCAGTATGAATTATAGATTTATGAAAGAGTTATATTGTTTACAATTTACTTTTAAATGCCTCATTGTAGGTAGTGTAACATATACATACATTAGTTAGGGGCAGACAGTTAACATTTCAAGTGTTCTTTTTTAAATTACTTTCAAAGATTGGTGAGTTAGCCTTTGAAAGAATCCAATCAGAAGCCAGACTCCAGGATACCTTATAACAGCCTCTAAATGACATTCTCTGAATCTGCACTAGAGATTTTATTAATTAGCCTAAGCGAAATTAAAAATAACATTTTACTGTTGAAATAAGAAGAGTTTAGACACATAGGTTGACTAGAAATCATACACTGGCACCCCAGTGCTTGCAGAACAACTTGCAAAAACTGGCAAGCCCAGCAGTTGACAGCGTTTAGTGGCACTCTGTGCTGCCACTTAACAATGGACTTTTTTGTACCTAATCCAACTAGAAAGCTAGCTACACTCTGATATTAAAATATGGCTGGACAGAGAGCTGAAATTTCACCACGCTTACAAGAACAAGTTCTTCAACTATGTTTGTGCCTGCCTGCTAAGAAACATACGTATGCAGCAGACTTCAGTCTGAGGCTTGCTTTCATTGTAATATCCCACCACATAGCAGAGGCTATGAAAGGCTATATACTTACAGCTCTTAGCTCTAGTTGTCAGAAGTTCCCTGATGATTATAAAGTGTCCAATTGGTTTAGGTGAGTTCAACACAGAAAGGGACGCATATTTCTACGACTTTTTTTCATTCCTCTTATATATAGAACACTTCACATAACACAGTCATTTTTCAATTTTCTAAAAATAATTTAGTACAAAAATAATCTTGAAAAGCTAACTCCCTCCGAACAAGAAACAAAGGAAAATTAAGTGTCTTTTTTTTTTTTAAAGGATCAAAGGGAGAAACTTACCTAAGATGTAAAAGTTTGGGGAAAGACAAGGACTGGGAAGATCCAACTGTATGATCATACTGAGGCTCTGATCTAGGAAGTAAACACGTTTGTTACTGATTTAATCACAATATAAAAGTATGTTTTTTCCCTATATAGGAAAATTTCTGCCTCCAAAACAAACTTAAGAACCTAACTGCATTTGCCTTTATTCAATTTGCTTTAATCATATGGAAGAAAACTGATTAAAGACTTTTTGGTTTCTCTGAATCTTTTAATAGAAATTCTACTTCACTCTTAAAAGGCATGATAAAATCTTTAGTGCATATAGACTATCAGAGATTTCAGTCCATCACTGCCTCCCCCCGCCATGTAAGTTCCTCAAATACTCCCCACTGGCCATACAAATCATTACCTTAAAGTAATCACGGGGAGAGGTGGCGAGGACAGGAGTTTCTTAAACTGATGTGTACTTATAACTTCTCCATCAAAGTTTACTTCCCACATCCTGGAGCCAGGGCGAGCACAATATATTAGGGGCTGGTGGCCTGCAGAACATCTTCCAGGGAAGAAACAAGCCCCATATTCTCCATCTCTTTCCTTGTTTCCAATTTTCCAAAATTTTTCTCTAATACCCCACCAAAAAAGAGAAAGCATGTTTACTCACCAAAAAAGTCAAAAACATTGGCACTACAAATCAGCATGGCCATAATAACCCCACCCTCAATGTTAGCAACATACTGGAAAGAATAGAATGGAAAGGACAAATTAGGGTTCGAGCTTCTGATTTGCCATTAACTATTTCTGTAACAGGAAGCAAAGCACTTCCTGTTAGTGTTCAGTTTATCATCCTCAAAATGAGGTGCTCAGAATTAATGTGAACGCTCCTTTCAAACCTAAAAAAAAAAAAAAAGAGTCCTTCCAAACCATTTCACACATCCTTGTAACCTACTGATTGCTTCCCAAATCATCTTGTTCTTTGGCCACTCCATGGAAACTAGTCATCTACTCCCCAACCCTGTCTCGAGACTACTCCTTGGCCACAAATACCCAATAAATTCCTCACTCTTTCCTCAAAATGGTAAGTCCTTCTGAAACTCTGTACCTTGGAACATTCTGCTCCCTTAGGATTACATGAGCTAGATCTATAAAAAATCCAGATACACAAAGCTGCCTGAGAACACGGAAGGTGAGAATGATGTCTCTTCCTAAACACTCCTTTACTTATTCCTGACTTAGCTCCATCATTCCTCCTGACAGACTTCCTTGACTCCTATAAGCTGAATTACATGCTTCCCATGCTGTTTTCAAAGCATTTAACCACATTATATATGGTAGTTGTGTCTATTTGAACAGTAGATTATGACTTTCTTTAGGAAGAAGGCCATTTCCTATTCCTCTGTAGTTGAATTCCCAGTGTGCAGCACAGCATCTGGTCCACAGAAAGCACTCAATACGCCATAGTGCTCCATATACTCAACTTTTTTATTGCAGAATGACCTAAAACGCTCTCTAGCATGAATCTACTATGTGATCTTTGATAATTTAATAAACATCCCTGTACTTATTTGCTTCATAAATAAAATAAAACATCAGCTTTACTAGAATATGGATGTGAAAGTGATTTGAAATGTATACAGAGAAAGAATTAAATGAGTATTACTGTTTTATTACCTATACCCCTTATTTAGGGAATAAAATACATTTTTGCCTATTTTATATGCTCTATGGTGTTTAACAACAGTGCTACAAATCCAGAGGAGTGCAATAAATATTTGCTGAGTAAACAAATACAGTCAACTCATTCTCATTTGTATGCTCATTAATCTTGATTTCCATATTTTCAAATGACATGTCACAGGGACAAGGTTAAGTATTTCATATACATTAGCTTAGTTAATCCTTAAAACTATCTCTACAGTCTGGATAGGGAAACTGACACCTGGCAAGGTTTAAAAAGTACAGAACTAGAATTTGAAACTATATTGTCAGGCTCCATCATCCAACGTCCTCCCTACTATAACACAGTGCTTTGTTCTGTTTGTTCTAGTTCCTCCTGGGAGCCACCTTGTTCATTAACAATACTGACAGAAAGTAGCAAGAGAAGCAAATTCATATCCACCACTTTGGTTAGTTAGTAGAAGCTTTGGTTTAAAAAATGCTGTTTTGTTTGGCAGCAAATATAGCTTGAAACGAACAAAACTTTTAAAATACAAATAAAAAACTTTTAATTATTGTACTATCCATGTCCCCCCAAATTCAATTCTAGCGTACAGAAAACACTTCTAAAACATGTTAATTTTACAGTTGGCTGTTCTCATAACCAACTCTAGCCACAACCCTGTAAAAGGAAAAACAAATCATGAGCAACCCTACTGCACAGACAGAAAAATAAATCTCCACTTATTTAGCTCTTTATTCCATTTCACTAGATCTTCAAAACAACCCCAATAAGGTGTTAATTCAGTTCAATTTTCTGACCACTTGTCAGAATTTCAGCCAAATTTCTGAATTGGCCTGTTTGGAAAACTTGAAAACCTATAGATGAAGAGTATTTTAAAACTCAGTGAAGCTAACAAATATTCTACCAAGATCTTAAAAGTGGATTTGCAGGCCAAAGGTCCAATGTCAAAGGATATATTAGAAGCAAAAGAGGTAACAGGAAAGGCACAAAAGCAAGGCAGAAAGATTCTAGTTCGCCTCTTCCCAGCTGAGTGATGCCAGGCAAGTTCTGTCACTCAGTGGGCCTAGGCTTTCTGATCTGCAAAAATGAAATGGTGATGCTAGATAATCTCCAGTTTTGAAAGTCCAACTTCATCACTGTTCTCATTCTGAAATAAGTCAGAACCAAGTACTTCATCCTGCCTAGTTCCATCCATCCATTCCTACTGATCATCTGCATCTCAAAGCCTTGCCTCTCTGCTGCACAGTTAGGTTCTCTGATACCAGACACCTACCACCTGCTATAACTGGTCTCCTTCCCACATGTCTTTCTCATCACAAGAAAATAAAAGCAAAGTACATCCTCTCCTCATCTTTCCCTCTACTGTCTCTAACAGTTAGCATACATTCCTTCAAAACTTTTGAAATGAACAGTCTCCTGCTTTCAAGAAGTGTAGTCTTCTGAAATACAAGAATCCCTGGAAAAACATAAAAACTTTCCAATCCTCGATAGTTTCAAGGGAATCAATTTCCAAACCCTGATTTTTCACATGTACACTTTCTTAAAATGATCTGAGAACCCACCTACTTAATGTGACATTTAAGGCTGTTACTCTCAGTGTGGTGCCCACTTACCAACTAGATCTCCCACAACTCCCCTACTCAAGCCAGACTAGCACATTTTGGAATATGCCTAATTCCTTTTCACCTCCCCTCAAGGGGCTGTTCTTTCCTCCTAGAATATCCTATCCCCTTTTAACCCCTTTCCTTCAAACTTCCCCATCAAAATTACTGGAGCTAGCTAGCTAGTGGGTCACTTGGGTTTATTATGCATTCTCTCTTCTTTTACATATACTTAAAATTCCCCTAGGAAATTTTTAAAAGAGGGGGTGGGTCCTGAGGAATATGGTAGTTGGCCATGGTCAATGGAATGGGGAAAAAAAAACTGGCCAGTGAATATTTCCCTGCAGTGAAAATGGCTGAGGATCTTAAGCCATTCTCTGCTCTGGTACTTACACCTAGCTCCAACACACTTCTTTGCTATTCACTGGACCTTTGGCTCCACCCTAGAGATTTTGGAAAAATATTTGTGAGCTTCACAAAGTTCTTAATTATCTTCCGTTCAATTTTACCCTTTAGTAAAATTCTACTAAATATACAGCAAATTTCAACAACAAACTCAATCAAGGAAGACTTCCTGATTCCCCATATTGAAACAGGCCATTGTTTGGCCTTCCCTCATGGCACTTAGACTAGGTTTCTTGGTAGAATTAATTGAATATTTATCTTAGTCACCCACTGGACTGTCTCAATCTCCTCTACTCTCTAACATTAGCTTTCACACAGCTCGTTCCTTATCAATACATTAATAACGGTATAACTGAACTGAGTGGTTTGGGCTAAATGACTTCTAAGTCCCTTCCTGCTCTAAAATTCTGTATTTCCAAGGACTCTTGGTTGGTCAATATACCTCTCAGTGTCGCACAAGAAGGATCGAGTAAGTGAAGATATAAGTAGTCTTCCATCCAAATAATCTAACTGGACAACACAGGAGTCAACTGTTGTTATTGTCTGAACAGGAAACATCACAAAGGCAGCAGCTGCCTAAAGGGGATATGACAAGGAAATCAAGTTTATTTGTCTTCATGAATATACATAATCTCCTTCTCTTTATCTTTTACCTGAAAGTAACTTAGACAACAAATAAAATTTTTAAATGGGCTGAAATTTAATTCACCTTTTAGGATATCAAAGTTTCACTCATTTAAAAGTTTTGTGAAATAATTTGCTATATAACTGCAGAAGAGAATTCTTCAGGCTCTGTTTGTGATTATCTAATCTTAGAAGTTGGAATGAAAAAGGTAAAGTAAGTTCTGGAATATGGGAGAGTTTTTCACCAGCAGATAGCATTTCTCCCTTTGGAAAAAAAGACAAATTAGGGCTATACTCTGTATAGAATTCCATCTGTATTTTGGATCAAAAATATATTAGGAATTAAGTGGTAACTTTGATAGGTCATTCTGAATATCTAATTCACACATCAAGAATATTCTTATGTGTTAATTAAAATAATTTAGCCAATGATAGTTGAGAGCTCTTCTTTTCTGCCAGGATCCTATGTGGAAGTAAGCCAATGAGAGACAAGTTCCCCACTTCTAATACAACAGCTCTGGAGGGGAGAGGCAGTGAGAAGCTGGTCAGCTCTGCCTTAACGACAGACTGGAGCATCCTGTTAGGGTAACCTGAAACTCAAGTCTTCTACACCAACAACTGTGGCAGGAAGCCTAGGGACCCACGCTGCTGAGCACAATCCAGGAAGTGTCTTTAAGGTTCTGTTCACAGTAAGTTATATCCTCCTGAGAGAAAATATACCTAGACCCCTGAATTTCTTCTAAATGAGGACCTGGAAAATAGGAACTTGGGCAATTAGTACCATTTCTAGGTCTGCCATTTTATTCACACAACAAACAAACAGGCATCTTTTCTTTCCTAACAGCCTAGTATTAAAGAATGCTCTATTCAAGTGAGCCATGCAGGTGAATTATGGAGTAATGTAACAGACAACGTGCAAATTATTGAAGTGAGCTCACAGAAGCCATTCTGCAATCATATCAAGCTAAACCAGGCTACCACACATACTACATGCAAACAATTCTCCTCAAAATTAATAGTCTGGGCTCTAGACCAGTCCCCCAAGAAAGACCGTAGGAAAAATTGTGTCCTTTAATTGAAATTCTCTAAGACAATACCTTATATTTCACCCACATACACAAAGAACTGGACTGGTTCTCACCTTTGCTTGTTTAGAAGTGTTGAGTTTGATGGCAGAAACTTTCCCCATATGATCACCTACAAAAACTCTAAGAATAGCTGTATCCCAACAGAGAGCTGTAATTTTTCGGCCTTTGTGTTCTGAAGACACATAAATTCTTTCTGGTTTTCCACGACGCTCTTGATTTAATTCCCAAACAACTACAAGACCTTGACTGCAAGAAATGAGTCACAGAAGCAAATTTTTGGCAATGGTGAATAAGATCACAGTATTGACTATATTAAATATACATGCAAACACTTACTCTTCTGAAAAGATAAAGTAGAAAGTGAAGGTATTAATTTCTTTGCTCTAGTCCACCAACATAACATAATAGGACAACTTAGATGTTCTAAATTATCTCTGCTACCTTTCTCTTTTAAGGTCACGGAAATGTTGTTGCTTCATATTAGCCCTTTCCACAAACCCAAGGGTGACCAACTGTCTGTCCTAGTTTACTTGGGTCTCAGAGGTTTCCCACAACATGGGACTTTCAGTGCTAAAACAGAGACAGGTCCAGGCAAACCAGGATGATTGGTCACACTACCTAACAAACACACAACTACATTTGTCAACTTAAAAAGCTTTTGGAAAAGATCAAATAGTTTTAACACAGCTTCTCACCTGGTAGCTACAGCAACATAATCATCATCATGTAAACAACAGGCGACCTGAGAAATTGCACCTTCCTAGAGCACAGAAGGTAAAATATTAGGCAGCTCCTCAAAAATGGGTAAAGTTTTATGTTTCAATCTCAAGGTTTACATTACTCTTTTATTCTAAGTGATTATTTGTAATGGAGAAATTCACGTTTATGAAAGATACTCCCTACGGATGGTATAAGACAGGGCTACCCCTTAATCTTACCCTGTGTGAAAGGAAAAGCCTGTGCTTCCAGCCGTCTTTCTGAATGAGATTGAGTCCTCCTCCTGAAGTGCCCAAGGCTAGCCATTTTCGAGACACAGTTAAGCTTGTACACTAAAAACACAGAAACAGGCAAATGTGAGATTGCCACAGTCACTTAACCAAATAAACTATCTACTAGAAATAAATACTGAAGATCTGTGTCAGGTTCCTCCCCCTACCCCACCCACCGTCTTGTCAAACATCATGGTACTCACACTCTCATTCTAGAATAGTGAAAGACACAGAAGGAAGAACATGTCGATTTTAAATGTTTAACTGAATCTCAAAATGGCTGAATAGGCTCAATTGTATAAATGAGTAACTTCCTCTTGGCAAAAGCCAGCTACTAGCCCATTCATCTTCTGTGTAATTGGGCTAGGTCATTCCAGCGCTGACCACAGGAAGATCAAGTAAGTCTCCAGGGGATAAAGCAGCCACTTTAATCATCTGCTCCCATATACCATTTCTAGTCTGCATAACTGGCACAAAACACTCACAGCTCTGAGAGCAAGTGAGCCTGCAGGACACAGATGCAGGTCATCGTACCACTATGTCTCTCCACACCTTCAGCCTGCTGCTTCAGCCTCCCCTATCTACCAGAGAAAACAGGGGCCCTACTGTGCCCAAAACCTTGTGGCAAAAATGACTGGTCGGCGAACAGACATTCCTAACCCTCTTTGACCTTGTTGCTTCCCACCATAGAAGCTGGAAAACCTACATCTTAATTCACCCAGTTTCTTTTGCACTGTGGGGAAGCCTTGTGATTCAAATCCAGCTGATGAGGCTAAGTCTGCTGGGGTTTCCTAGAAAGCTTTACCCTTCCACATAAATGGTAGAATCTGATGAAAAGAAAGTCTTTATCCTTGGCCCCCTCTTTTTTGCCCGAGGTGCTAATGGAGACATTAAGACTGGAGCCAGGACTCTTACCTTGCAACTGAGACTAATAGCCAATGAACAAATGATGGTAGAACAAGAAAGATGAAGAGCTTGGGTTCTCAGGAATGTCACTGGCCACTACACTAAACCCAGAAACAATAACCTCCAACAAAATTATAAACACCTTTATTGCTTAAGCCATTATTGAGAAGGTTTTCTGCAATTTGCAACTAAAGAATGTCTAACTGGTATCAACATTTACAATTGTTGCTCATATTACTTTGCCTATTACTTTCCATTCTCCCTTTGCTCAGAGACTGGAAAGGAGCTTTGGGGTGGGAGCAAAAGTGTAAGAATGCAATTATTTTGGAATTGGTTATGAGACTGTTCTTTACTATGTCATTCCTGGGTTTATTAAAAGAATTCAGGGTTTGAGGGAAGCACATACTTCTTCCCACAGAGCTAATTTTTAGCAAATTTTTTAAAGCTAATTTTTAGCCCTGTTCCCTAAAACAGAGGGTACTTCAAACTCCTTGTCTTGGAATGAACTTAGTATACCTGCAGTGGTTTGTGCTCAAAATGCAATGGGGTAAACTCATTTATATCTATTTTATTTTCAATCAAATACACTGCTTTCTGAGAGAAGACAGCAAGATCAGAAGGGAAAAAAATTCAGCAATCAATATCATGGTCTCCAAGGATGCGAAAGAAGAATTCAAATGACTGATTAAAAAATAAATCAAGAAAAGCTATGAACATATTACTTCTATGTGAGGTATTACTAGCACAGGCAAGAACACCCAATACTCCATAAAACATAGACAACACGGGTGCATGCAACAGAGAGCACACGAAAATATGAATATGAAAATAAAACTGACATAAAGATCAAGAAAATCACCTTTAGACGAGTGGAGTCCAGCCTCAGGGCTGCAAGTAATGGATCCAGAGACTCGAATTCTGCAAGAACATGGCTGTAGGACTCCGGTATCACAGGCACAAAGGTCATTTAGCCTGAAAGCTCAAACTGCGTTGAGTAATACGCACAGTACTCCTGAATCAAACCTGCAAAAATATGATTTAAGACACTCACCACTCATTCAGCAAGTATTTAATGTGTAGGTTGAGAAAATTGGGAAACATGAGAAAGGGACAAGGATCCCTACTCTGGAGGTGCTTAGCATCTAGGTGGAAAGAAAACATGCAGAGGTAATATTATATGCAATCATCAGCTTGTACGACATCATTCCCTGACTCTAAAACTCCCAGAGGATAAAATCCAGATTCTCAAGGCCCTCCACGATCCTATCCCACTCTACTTACGTAACAGTGGGAGAAGCGGAATGGACGCTGCGGGATAAAAGGTGAGAATTCCTAACTTAAATGAAGTCTTCTCAGCCTTTCCACTTGTCATTTTATTAAGTACCGTGGATGAAGAAAAATCAGGATTACTAAGACAAACAGTGTTGCTCACCATCCAGTTCTACAAGGGTTAAGTTGTACTCCACTGCAGTTGCTGACGACAGTGCCCTCTGGGAGGAAATTAACACAACAGTATGAGGCACCAGGAGATTTGGACAAGCAGCCCCCTCAGCTCGCTAGACATATATCCCAGGAAGAAGTTTAATCTCCCCAGATTCTTGCATCTTCCCATACTAAAATCATTCACTTGGATATCTGTTCTTTATGATTAGCAATAATCTTTTACCAAGATGTAGGCTTGCCTGCACTTATTTTCTAGCCAAAAATCTCATATAAACTGTCTTCTCCCCTACCTCTTCAGAGCAGTTTCCTCAGAGCTAACTGAGTATCTCCCAGGTTACAGTTCTCAGAAAGACCCTGAATAAACTCTAACCTGTTATATTGTTTGACTTTCTCTAAGTTGACTGCTTCTAGCAGAATATGAGGCACAGTGGTGCAAACAAGACAAATCAAGTAATTCCAGAAATCAGTCACTTTATAATCATATGGGGAGAAAAAGACAAATCACACACACACACACACACACACACACGCACACACACACACACCCAGGGCCCTCATAAGGGAAACATAAGCAAAGTAATACATTGGAACTTAGAGGACAGACAAATCACGTTGAGTTTAAAGTAACCACAGAACTGGGGGGAGGGTACAGCTCAAGTGGTAGAGCTTATCATGCACAAGATCCTGAGTTCAAACCCCAGTGCCCCCATTAAAAAAATTAATAAATAAATCTAATCACCTCCCACCACTAAAAAAGTTAGTTAATTAAAAAAAAATAAAGTAACCACAGAAAATGGTAGTGAAGTAGCACTGGACCTGAGTAGGCTTTTATTGGAAGGAAAAGGGAAAGGACAGCAGGTAGGGCAGCAATAAGCAAAGATACAGTGGATATATTTGGAGAATACAAGTTTAGTCCTTGGTTGAAACACAGGACAGAAGCCATGGAATAATGAAAACTAAAGCTGGGATAGTAACTCAGGCACAAGTTACAAAGCACTCTGAATCTCAAACCAAGGAACCCAAATTTTAATTTGGCAGAAAAAAATTTTTTTAATTCAGTAGGCAACAGAAAGGCACTGAAGGATTTAGTGTTGGGAGGTCACATAATTTCTGTGAAGTGCTGTGGGCAGACACCAGAAAACAAAGATTTGAGATAAGGGTTGCATAGTGAGAAAGTAAAGATGTCTCTTCATTTACTCAAGAAATCTGGTGGAAAAGGAGAAAACCTCTCTTGATCTTGTGAGCAAGGGAGACTCAATGAACAGATTTGTAGGCAGTAGCTAAAAGAAGTCTTTAGAATGAGAGGGACTGAAGATACAGGAAAAAGAAGATACAATTACCATACAAGATCCTAAAGAAGATAGAAACAAATAACATTGAGACCACAGTGGCTGTCTCTTCCACTCGTGATCTTAAAACAAACTCTGAGATGGATAGGCCATTTGCCCTTGATCTCAGTGAAGAGAGAATAATCTGGAATTTATGATCTAATGGGGTAAAAAAACCTAGTAAGTTTCTATTTTTCTGAAAAAGACTTAATGAAGATGAGAATGGAAAAGGAACAGCACAATGTTAGTTCTCAAGAGAAGCTGCTGTTAAGCCAACTCCAAATTTATACTTTTCTTTGTGCTTGTTCTCTCTGAAATGACTCCTTTCCCTCCAGGTCTCCTTATCCAAAATCTGCCTAGCCTTTCAGGCTCAGAAGTCCCATTTCCCAGAATTCTCAAAATGGAAGACTCAAAGGTAACTCAGTGAACACAATCATGCAATTCAGAAATTAGTCTTACCCTTGATCCCTGAACATTTGCAGGGAGGGAAAGGAAGTGTTCCATCTCACAAAGCTGCCCATTCCACTCCTCCACAGCTCTCTGTTATATGGCCCTTTTTTTTTACTGTGGTGCTGAAACCTGATGACTTGTAGCTTTTATTAATTATTCCTAATTGTGGCTTCTACAGTTTAAGGGAATATGTTTACTCCATCCAAAACAGTCGTTTGGTATTTGAAAACTGTTGTAAGTTCTTCTAAAAATTTAACATGACATGACACTTTCCAGATTCCTCTCTGTTCTGGTCAGCCTTCTACTCAGACACTTTAGTCTGCCTGAAAATGTGTCTAGAACTGAACATAAAACTTCTTATGTAGCTGGATACACAGAATAGAACTGAAGCACTAACTTCCTTGATCTGAACATATTTCTATACTATCTCCTAAAATAGCATCAGATGTGTTTTTAAAGTAGCCTCCTCACACATTTGATTCAACAGAGCAAGCAGTTAAATAAAACCCAAAGAATTTTTCATATAGAATGAGTATAATCTTTCTAGCCAGTACCCAGATACAGTAGAATTAAGCTCAAATTGAAAGCTGCTATTAACCAAATATGACAATGGATGTATAAAGTACCTAGACATTTGAAAAAACTGTTCAAACAAGGACAGAATGTTGATAATTGTTAAAGTTGCATTAGGTGTACACGAAAGTTCATTATGTTATACCACTGCTGTCTATGCTTGAAATTTTCCTGGTAAGATCTTTTTTAAAGTACTTACTTAACAATAAGAAATTCTGTACAAACTTTCAATACTTACCCCTGACATAATCTATGATCTTATCCTTATTTCTTTTTCCATCTTCATCTCCACCATATCCTCTGTCCTATTCTACAGCTATACAGAGCTATCTCTTATTCCTCTTTCATTCTATGAACTTTCTGTGGCTCCATGATTTAATACATCCTTGAATCTTCCTCCATGTAATATAACCCTATCTTCCTGCAATGCTGAGTAAACTATTACTTCCATTAAGTCTGACAAACCTCGAGCCTAGCAAAACACTAAACAAATTGAAGGTGGCCATAAATGCTCACTAAAGTCAACGAAAAAAGCTTTCTGAAGAGTTGGCTTGCCCAAGGTCACAGAGCTTATAAGAAGTAGAGCTGAGACTAGAATCCACTAATTCTGAGTCCAAATCTAGTCATCTTTCCATTTCCCAGCATTACTTGATGGTAACATAAACGAGTAGTAGGATCAAGAAAAGGCTTTTCTCATCGCCCTAATACTCATTTTACTTATAATGCACCAGTGTTTGCTGCTCGAACATCCAACGCAAATCACGCTCTTTTCCCCACTGGGTGCGTGGAAGAAGGGGAAGCGAAAGAGAGAAGGCAGAGAGCAACAATTAAAGATACTATGCGAAAGGGAAGTAGATATTTCCTCATTTCTATAACGGGCTCTTTCCACCCAAGAAGTAATAGAGAACAACTCTCCACTTCAGACCGAGAAATGGCGACTCGCTCATTCATGCATTTAACATGCCTTGCATGCACTACTGGGGACAGTTCCTGCCCATAAGCTCCCTGCCTAACTTTTTAACAACAGCAACTTTAATAGTGTATTCAGATCTCTTAAGGAGAGGAGCCTCAGTAATCAAGTTTTCAATGTCAGGCTCATAGACCAGCAGCCCATGGGTCTCATCCCTGCTCCACCATCTCCAGGCCAGTAGCCCCGAACTTCCAGTGGAGTACATACTCTCTCCCAGCTGGACGCCGGGACACTCACCGCGCACCGTGAGCCACACCGGAGCTTCAGTTTCCCCTCCCGCCCCGCCTCTCACGGCTTACGTCATCCCAGAGCGTCGGGGACGCTGGGACTACGCTATTAACGGCATTTCCTCGTCACGTGATGGACCACGCCCCTGCTTGAGCGTGGTCCCTCCCCCTCAGGCCGCGGTCACAATTACGCTCTCTGCGGCCTGCAGTCAGCTGGCCATTGCTGGCCGAAGATGCAACGCCAACCGGGACCGGAGGAGTTCTAGGCCAAAGGGGTGAGCCAGCCAGGATCCTGGGAGCCCTCACCGCTTAAAGCTGGCAAGAGGAAATGAAACAGGCGGGCACCAGCGGGGGAGGGAGGGAACTAGCGGAAGGTGTCATGGCGGCCGCGCTCTGGGGTCACGTGCCTCGCAGACCCGCCTTAGTACTTCCGGTCACGTGCCCTCAGAGTTCTCGCAGCCAGCGATGGAGGCGAGACCCCCCAGTAACAGAGGCGGCGGCGGCGGCGGTGGCTACTGGGTTTCTGCCCCTTCCCGGCAGCGTCTTTGAGAAGCGCAGCGGAACTCGATCCAGCCCAGTTACTTACTCCCTGCCCGGGGTCGTAGCTCCCACCTGGTAAGTTTAGACCGAAGAACAGGGGTGGGTGGGTGGGTGAGGAGCTGACAGGCCTGGGGGCCGCGGGACGGCGCGAAATCTGCCCCTTTTTCCTGTGTCTCTGTTGCCGTCGCCACAGCTTTCAGGCCTGCCGTCACGGTTGCTCTTTATTATCTTGAAGGGGGAAGAGGCGACCCCTAATCTACTTGCTTGTGGGAAGCCTACCCCTCTACTGGGAGCAGGGACTCAAAGATTTACCCAAAGCTGAGATCAGACTTGGCTCCTGAGAATGAAGGACGTGGAGGCCTCTCTCTGGCGGGGGAGCCCTTCCCGTTAGAAAATGTGCTGTTGAGTGTTTCGGTTTCTGTAAGGGAAAAGCTTTCACCTTAGTGTCCGCACACCTTTTGCTTCACCTGTCAATCCTGCCACTCTTAAAACCTTCTTAGCACGTGTGCCAGTTCACCCCATACACACCAGGTTTTGGTCCGTAGCCAATCTGATCATTTTTAAGATAGACAGCCAACACATAGAAGTATATAATCATTTTAGAAATTCCCCAACGTTCTCAGGCTAAATTGATTAAGGGGGTGTATTAGGTTGACTCTTAAACGCCCGTTTCAGGGGTGTAAAACTGGGGGAGAGGAGGTGAAAGATAAAAGACCTAGCCTTTTGTCTATCAGAAGACCCATTTTTTAAAACACGGTAAACAAGTGGTTTAAAATATACCTTGCATTAAGTATTGACTCCATAGATGAGTGGAACAGTTTGTCCCCATGAACGGGAACCCCAGTATATAAAGCAGCATGCTCTGGTAGAATTGAATTTGAGAGTGCCCAGCCCACCCACTCAGCCTTCCCTCTTGAAACAGTTTGAAAACCACTAAATTGAGCTTTGGTAACTAAGCCAAGTTGTGAACACTTTGACCCTTTGTAAAAGTCACAACTACAACAAATGAGATTGAGAGGTCACAACAGAGGGGAAGATAACCTCTAGTATCAGGCTTACGGCTCACAAAAGGACTGACCTCTGGAAAGAACTTTGTACCTTTTAGCAGACCTAAATCCCTCATTTGGAAAGGAGGGAAAGATAATTTGGGGCAGTTAAACTTGCTGCTACTCTCACTCAGCTGACACTTCACAGTGCAGCACATTGATAGATTTGAGTCTCTCCTAGGTATTATTAAATACACATGCTAGTGCTAATGCAAGAAAATAATAATAATAATAATAACCCACACAAATGCAAAGAGAGCTCTTTAAAAATATTAAGAAGGTTGGTGCAAAGAGAAGGCTCGGTTAAATAAAAGGACCAAATGCTCAGCTCCTGTCAGTTGTGGCTGCTTCCTGTACGTACTGCCCTCAAGGCTTAATGTTGTCTCCCTGCTGGTCTATCTTTACACCTTTTAGCCCTACTTTCCTGTGCTGCTGATTTTTCCTTACCATCGGAACGTCTGGTGTACTTTGTGCTTTCCTAGCATTTTGATCACTATTTCTACTTTATGGATACTGCTGGTAGAGGTGTCTTTGTCTCTTACTCTTTTCTGTCTTTCCTGTCTTCAAGGTGGCAGTGTCAGGCATCCAATAGTCCCTCCTTTCTCCACTTTGATTACCAACTGATTGCTGCTGTTTCAATTTTGGTATTGTACTCTTGTTAGCATGCAGTATTTGTTAGTGAATGTGAGCATGTATTTCTCTCTGTCTTGCGTCTCTGGGGCGTTTTCCTCCTCCTGCCTCTCCCTGCACTGCTGTAAAAAGAAAAAGTGCTTAATCTAAAAATTGCTACCTCAGTTATTCCCCTTAACATCTTCCTTGTGTATGTAACTATCCTTAAAACAATATCTGGTCATTCTTTATCTATTTTCAAGGTCTTATTCCCTCTGGTGCTGAATTGTTAAAATTTTTTTGGATTGCCTGATGGCAAGCAGCATTCCAAATCTCCATTTTGTTCGCTGGCAGACACAGAAGTCCTCTAATAATAATCCTCCTTTTAGAGGGTGATAAAGAGTTTCTATTTCACTTGTTGCCTTTTTTTCTGCCCCATTTATCTCTGCACATTGGGGAAGGGGATATAAGTAATGGAAATGCAGAGATACAGGATGTAGAAAATGGAAATTGAAAGATTTCTCCTGAATATTTTCAAATTTTTCCTATCCTTATTTATTTACAAGACAGTTACTGGAATCTGTGAGGAATGGTACTCTAGTAGAGAACTTCAGGGCTTCCAGGAGTTTAGCTGAGGATGTATGTGCAAAGATTTCTTGTTGTGTCTCACCAGGATTATATTCCTTTAAAAACAGAAATCTTAAATAGATGTTGCAGATATTTATTGAACTCTTCCTATAGGCCAGAGCATGCTGCTGCGTGCTGTATTGCAAGGAACACAACACATGCAGCCTCTGCCCTTCTCAGTGAAGCTTGCAGTCTATCGGGGTAGACAGGCATTAAAAGAATTACTTTAAAAATGTATTACCATAGTGGTAAGTGCTGTAAAGAGAAGATAGGAGACTTTGCCTGGTAACTTTGAAGCTTAGAGTAGACTGAAAAAGTGAGTAAAAGCCAGTTAACAGGAAAGGAGGAGAATGTGCAGAGGCTCAGAGCAAGGCATGTATGTACATTTAGCTTCAGGCAAGAAGATATTTAACTGCAAATGAATTAATAAGTTTACTGGAGGATCTTGCTATTTAAAGAAGTCTTGTGGCAGATTATTTCATGAAGTAAATAATCTTCCAAGTAAAGCTAGATCTACTTCAAGCCACTTTGTTTAAATGTAACTGCACGGATATATTTTGTAAACAAAATATTTTGTGGCTCTTACAGAGATCTACTAGAAAGAAGTTTTTGCCACTGTCAAAAAAAGTCTAAAAGTCACAGAAGTCGATACAGGATTGCCCCCATTGTTCTATTGAACTTCCTAAAACTGTTCCTTGTACAATTAGCAGAAGTGCTACAGATGACCAGGGAAGTTTGCCAAGCAAGTTAGCTGTGAGACCATTGACTTGTAATTCAGTGTTCAGTAACTTATCTCTGATATATTTTTAAAGCTCCCCCTAAGTGGATTTTAATATGAATGGTTTTACATAAGTTACATAACAGGATGTGTTTTTCCCAACTGATTTAAAGTAGCCATTTAAATCTAATTTATTCTCCACTTTACAGTTTCCCCACCTTCATTCATCTTTCTTCCTTACCTTTCCATTTCAGAAATTTTTTGTTCTTTTCCAAACCTAATACTTTTATTTGTTCCCGTAAGCTCAGTTAGTTGAGGACTTACTTTATCAGCTGTCCTTGCTCACTGCCTGTCCTCCATATATGTACATACTTAGAGCTGTCTTGTAATTATCTGCTTATCCCCCTCCACACACCCTCTCCCATCTATCTCAGATTTTAATTCATGTTTCCTGATATGTGGGTTGTATGGTATGCATTACATAGTATAGACAGGCTTTCTCAAAACTTTTAATAGGTATATATTTGATAAAATGAATATTAGAAAATACTGAAATTTAATTATTCATAGGCATTATAAGTTTTTATTTATAAAGTTTTAACACTAAGTAAGAATAATACACATATTCTAGAAATTGAAAATTACAAATATTTTAATTTTTACCCACGCTAACACCCCTGACACTTTCCCATGTTAACTTATAAATGTGGTCTAATAGAGAATAAACTCTTGGAAAAACATTTTTAATAACTGCTTTTCTCATTACGAAACACACATTTATTGTAGATAATCCAGAAAACAAAAAGATCATTCAAATCATCTGTAATCCTATCACCACAGGTAATCACTATTAAATTGGGTATATGTTCCTCTCATACATATTTGCAAAACAGCATAATGGAACTCCAAGGTCAGACTGACCCAGATTCAAACCCAGTTCTACTGCTTGCTGCTTTGGGAAAGCATCTTGATCTCTCAGACCCAGTTTCCTGTATCTGCAGAATGGAACTAATAATAGAACCTACCTCAGGATTGTTAACTGGGGACTGAATGAGATAATGCCTACCAAGAGTTTAGTCCAATGCCTGGCACATAAGTATTCAGTATATCTTAAGGTTTTTTAAATTTAAGAATATGAAGTCAAACTTCATGGGGTGTTTTTTTGCTTGCTTTGATCACCTAACAGTGTATTGTTTTCATGTCATTAAGTAGTTTCAAGTTATTAAGTTTTAAAACAGTGATTTTTAGACTTTTTAAGCAACCCTCTAATCAGAATCTTACAAGGACATCAAATGAGTTAAAAGATGGTATTATATATTAAAAATTTTGACCATTTATCATATATGATACATGGATATCAAAACTGGAGATTGTAAAATGGCATGCGGAAATGTTTTCAGTGGTGAGTGAAAAACAAGATAGTTAACTTGGCTGTATTTCATGATTACATTTGTAAGGTGGATACAGGAAAAATAAGCATAATTTAAAATTAAGAAAATTAAAGTTAAGGTTGTGGGGTTATGGAAATTTTTTAATCCCTTTTTGTTATTGAACTTACTAGGCTCTGTCCCAACATTTCCAAATGCCCACACAATACAAACTATCTC